TGAGTTCCCTTACACTCCTAGGTCTTCACTGCAGCAACCCAGAAAGAAAGGAGAAGATAAAAGAAKGCAGCAAGAGAAGATAGTGCACCGGTTGAAACCAGGAAGGAGCTAATGCTCTGATACCATGTAAACTAAGAAGCTGAACTCGAAGTAGTAAAGARGAGGATGAACTTCTTAGATGCAGAGAATGTCGAACTGTGTTAGCAGTCGACTAGGCCTTTATTTAAATATAAGTGAAGTACAAAGTACAATAAAATTACTGGTATACCCCTGATTAGTAATGGGACAACCAGAATACTTAAAACATAAACAGGATTAGGCCCACTAGCAAAGGCCCAGTTACAAGATAAAATTAACATAAGAATGGGCTAATAGGAGACCCTATCAGCYGAACACACTCTAGCATTCTAACATAAGTAAAACAAAAATCACACTTTCATACAAAAGTGTAATAACACTTTCATACAGCCAAATTGTAATAACACCTTACCAGCTCCATAAAGACTTCTCTAGCAAATTATTTGCTGCCTAAGGAAAAAAACAGAACCTTTTTTTTCAACTTGAATTTCCTACACCACCACCTGAACATCCAAGTTCTTAGATACTTTAGGACATTTACTTTGATAGAAAAGAAGAAATTTTCAATAAAAGACAATAGGGAGTATAAGAATTGGTGATAATATATCATTATATCACCAAAAGAAGGAAAGAAAAAATTAACAAGCTCTGCCAACTCAGAATAATCAATCAACCTCCTAGCATCATGCCAACTATTTCCTGTTATGCAGAGCCAAAAACATATCAACTCAGCCCGTAAGGCTACTACAGCTAAAACAATGCTTCTACACCTGAACAAATTTTCATCCACATTTTCCATTCTCCCCTTCCACTTTCTACTTCACAACAAACACCCCCCTGCCCCATACCATGGACTCCTAATCTCATCCCCCTACATACAATATACTCCTCCTTTGAACAACAAATGCTTTTAAGTCCCGCTTTGTAAGTGAAGGAAAAGTMGTTCCGGTGAGCAGTTCAGTAAGGAAAGTACTCGATGAAAGAAAAGCGTTTTAGGGTAGTCGGCTTTAGGAAAGCGAAGCGTCACTAAATTCCCTCTTCGGCCTTCGAGTGCCGATCTTCGCTTGGGCCGGCTCCGAGGCTCTACCCTGGCTTTTCATTGGTTCCTCCCAGGGGCCCTTTATCGTATCGCGCGCGCATCTTCAAGCAATYGGGGGAGGCGCCGAGTACATAGACGAGGCGGTCCCGGGAATGAAAGCCTCTCTTCCAACACCAACCCTTACCCTCTGATTTAAGCCTCCCTTTCTGTACTCAATAGCCTACACTTACTTTCTGATCTTCCACTTCTATTAACTTGGTTTTTCTTTTCTCCCAACTATAAAAAAATCTTCTTGCCACCTATTTTCACCCTATATAAATGATGTCCATTACTTTTCCAATCTCGATTTCTCTGTCAATAACTTCACTCGAGTTCATTTTTGCTTACTTTCCTCACTTCATCAACATACACCTCCTATGATAGACTTACCAGACAACCATGTCTTGTATGTGACTACAGATAACCTCATTTATGTCTCTTTCTCCATTGTTCAATTTACTTATGCTGCAATAACTGATTTCCTTTTATCCATTAAGGTCCTCCTCTGTAGACCCTGTTAAAATTCTTGGAATGTCCAGTTGCGTAAAGGCCTTCTTTTAAACTCGAGAATACCTTTGTGATATGAACCAGACTTGGGTCCTTCTGACACTTCAAACTCCTGATACTACCATATTTGTCCTTCCCTGCATAAACTTTGACAGATGCATTCTGCAATCTAAACCCATGCTTCAGAATCAATTGATCATCCAATCATTGACAAGGTGAGGAAGGCGAACTTGGATGTTGGAAGGCTTGTCAAATCAGTAAACCTGAGAAGTTTGGGGTGGAGAGAGGGACAAGATGTCAAGTACTAGCTATCATAGTGTTGTGAATGCTTTGGACCAAAAGGTGAACTTGGATGGTGGATTCTGTTGGCGATTGGATCCAAAAGGTCAAAGGGGAGTGTGGATGCCTGAGGAAGCATCCGCCTATTTTGTTAAGGTTGAGCCCACAGTGACTGGAGGAATGTGTAGTCTGAGATTGAGGTGCTTCTAGATGCAAAGGTGTGTGGGTTGGTTATTTCTCCTGTCAAATGCTTTCTCCTTTTATCAATGTTTTATGCACTTCTGGTGTTATCTTGTTCCCCAATGAAACCTTTTTTTCATTAGGTGGGCTATATAGAGGTTTCACCTTTTTTTATTTTCGTGCTCGTTTTATTTATTTCTTTTTTTTAGGGGTGAATGGCAGGTTTAGAAAGGGTTGTTCTTTGATCCCTCATAGTTGGTTATCTTTTTATTTGAATGCCATTCGGTTCCCCTTTCTATATGTAGAGTATTCTGTCACTTTCTCTCTCTCATAAAATTTCCATTTGTTATCAAGTGGAATAAATAAATGAAAAATGAAATTTGGCACAAAAATAAAAATGTAAAGAGTATTTAAAAGAAAAAACAATAAGTAATGAGAGCTAATACAAACCTGTTCTATTGAGGAACTGTCCAGCCAAAATGTATCACTTGCTTTCTGATCCCCAAACAATTTACAGAAAATATTTTTTGCCCCTCCAATTTGACTAGCCAAGTGGTCAAATTTTTTCCACTTCAACTTCAGAAATCTAGTTCTGGTGCTTTCAATCCCAAACGTTCTCGAATTGCACATACTAAAATGGTTACTATAATCTGCATTATTTACAAAAAGTTTGCTTTTATACTGTTCATTGAATACCTGCATCCATGATAAACAGACTTTACTTCACAAGAAAACTGAAGAAATAATATATATATGGCACAAAATAAGGATACAGAAGTTATTCACCAATTGATCTCCTAGTTAGAACTATGTTGAGATGTTTGCAGCAGCCTTATTTTTTTTGTTTTTTATAGTTTATTTATAGTTGTTGTTTTTTATTTTCTTTTAGTGCTGTTATTTTATTTCTTTTATATTGCTGTGGGCGGCCATGGGTATTTTTGGCATTGTACATGTTTCTCTTTTATTATAATTAGATAGGGGATGGGTGGCAGATAATTTTTTTGCTTCTCCTATTCTTCTCATTCTTCTCTTTTCTTCTCTTTTCTATACATTCTAGTTTACTTTCCTGATTGAATGCAGCATCATTTTTTTCTTATTTTATTATTCAACTCTTCAATTAACTGCAAATGTGCGGAACTTTGCCAGATCAGCTCAGGATTGTGATGCTAGAAGGGGTGTCCATGAAAAACCGAACCAAACTGAGAAAACCAAGCCGCAAAATGTGGTTAACCGAACCGATGGGTTTGGTATTTTTGAAAAACCGAACCGATGGGTTTTGTGGTTAACCTACAAAACCCTACAAAACAATCGGCGGTTATCCGAACCAACCGGTATATATTTGTATGTATATTTTATATATATGTTTAATATATGTCACCTATTTTCTATATTATATATAAATATATATTCATTATATACATATATTATATTTATAATAATCTATTTATAAATATATTATATATATTACATATTTTTAAAATATTTATAATATATTATATATCATTTATTATTTATAATATAATATTATACACATATTTATATAAATATAAATAACCGAAAAACCAAAGAACCAAATCGGTCAAAAACCAAAACCGGCGGACCGGTGGTTCGGTTAACCGAACCGTGGACACCCCTAGACACCAGGATGGAGCTAAGTGTTACGGACCTAGACTTTCACTAGTGTCATGCAGCACTTGAAGTAGCACTTCTCTGCGCACAAGTCAGCCTTCCCACTAGCACCCTCCAGCTCTAGGAACAAGTATGCACCTTACTCAACCCACACACTTAGGCAACTTCTTAGTCCTTAGGCAAGTTAGAGACAATAACACACAAAAGGAAATTAGGAAAGAACTCTTGTATTGCTCAAAAAAGAGATACTCTTCTATTACTGTGGAATGATAATCCAGATGTATTGTTGATTCAAGAGATCAAATTATCAAAAATAGATAGAAGGTGAATTAGAAGTATTTAGGGAGCTAGAGGTCTAAGTTCAGCATTTGTACCATCTTGGGGGGCATTAGAGGGCAAGGAATTTGCTCACTATATGGAAAGAGGAAGAAATGGAATGTCTGAAGGATGAGAAACTAATAATCCAAGTAAGGCTTCACCTTAAGCATGAGAAAAAATTTAACAACCTGATTGAGTCCTTTGATCTGAAGGAACCACCCTTGCTTCAAGATGAATTTACTTGGTCAAACTTCCAAGCCAACCCAATTTGCTCAAAACTTGATAGGTTTTTCTTTTTGGTAGACTAGGAAGACTTATGGGCAAACTTAAAAGCAAAGGTCCTACCTAGGATAACTTCAGACCACTGCCATATTTGTTTAGGAATAGGAGCTTTTTTTTTGGTGGTCCCTGTCGGCAAATTAAGAAAGATAGGATTTGCGGCAAATTAAGAAAGATATGATTTGATTGATTAAGAGATTTGAATAAATTTAGGAAGGACTAGATTTGAATAAATTTAGGAAAGTCATATCCTAGGATTAAGGAAAAGATTTAGTCTATCCCTGATTGTGAGAGATTGTAGAGGTTTGCCTTTCCCATCTTTTCTTATTTAAGTTGTATGCTCAATATGTTTTAATTATCAATAAAGAAAATTTTCTTCTTTTCTCCCTCTATATTTCGCCACATGGTATCAGAGCTTTAGGATTCGATCATGAATTTTAAGGCCGCCATGGTTGGCTCTGGTTCAACCTCTTCGGATGCTACCAGCGGTGTGACGTCTTCGGAGGGAGGTATTCAGTCAGCGGCCATTTCTCTTTCTGAGAATTCTCTTCAAATTACCATTCACAAATTGAATGGAAAAAATTATCTTGCATGGTCTCAGTCCATGCGGTTGGTGATCGACGGCAAAGGGAAACTCGGCTATTTGAACGGCAAAGTGAAACCGCCAGCCACTGATGATCCAAAGTACAGGCAGTGGCGTTTTGAAAAATCGATGGTTACCGCCTGGTTGATCAACTCTATGGATCCAGTGGTTGGAAAACCATTCATGTTCCTGCCGACGGCTCGCGATGTGTGGGAAGCTGTTAGGGAAACCTATTCAGATTTGGACAATCATTCACAACTGTTCGAACTGAATACCCGAATGTGGAAGATGCAGCAAGGTGAACGTGAAATAACAACTTATTATAATGAGATGATGGTTGTTTGGCAGGAGTTGGATTTATTTGAAGAAGAATGGGAAAGTTCGAGTGACAGTGCTCGGTACAAAAAGAAGATAGAGAGAGGCCGAGTTTTTGTCTTCTTGGCTGGTTTGAATAAAGAACTCGATGAGGTTCGGGGACGTATCTTAGGGTGAAAGCCCTTGCCTACTATAAGAGAAGTTTTTTCAGAAGTGCATAGAGAAGAAGCATGGTGGCAAGTGATGTTGAAGAATGTTAGTGAAACAAAAACAGAGAATGAAAGGTCCGCTCTTGTGGCCCGAGGTGCAAACTTAGATGGAGATAGACGAGGAGAAAAGCAAAGGCCTTGGTGTGATCATTGTAGAAAGCCATGGCATACTCGGGAAACCTGCTGGAAGCTGCACGGGAAACCGGCGGGTTGGAAGAAAAAATCAGGCAGTGATAACAAGTCAGGGGGAGATGTCCGCGCGCTTCAAGTAAGCAATTCGGATCCAGGGCAGCAATCATCCTTAGAGTCTCTTCCTTTCACAAAGGAACAAATAGAGCACTTATATAAAATGTTTCAATCTCAACCGTTAGGAAACTCTAACCCATCCTGTTCTCTAGCCCAGTCAGGTAATTTTTTCACTGCAGCCATTGCTTGTACCAAATATAATGGCTCCTAGATATTAGAATCAGGCCACTGATCATATGACCGGCACTTCGCAATTCTTTTCTTCATATACACCCTGTGCAGGGAATCAAAAGGTTAAAATTGCAGATGGTTCCTTTGCTACTATTGCTGGGAAAGGAACTGTGTCTATTTCTCCTTCTCTAAACCTTAAAGATGTTCTGCATGTTCCTAACCTATCATACAATCTCTTGTCTGTCAGTAAACTAACCCTTGATCATAATTTTCGAGTTAATTTTTGGTCTTCTCGTTGTGAATTTCAGGATTTTACCTCGGGGAAGATGATTGGGGGTGCTAAACAGGATGGTGGCCTCTACCTCTTTAATAAAGGATCAACCTTTGGAAGGCAAGACCGACAGACTTGTTTCA